ATGCCCGAGGACAGACCCTGAATGACCCACGGCATGGACAGACCCCTGCAGACCCCTCGGTGGGGTCACTGCCAGCCTTGGTGCCCGAGGACAGAGCCTAGAATGACCCACGGCATGGCCAGACCCACCCACGGACACATCCACGGCTCTGAGCGATCCCGGTGGCCCCAGATTCCTGCCAGGGCCTCATCCCACCCCAGCAGAGCTGCCAGGAGTGGGAGCAGAACCCCAGGGATGGGGCCCAGGGGGGGTCTGCAGGACCCCGACATTCCAAACATCCCTGCCAAGGCCTCAGGGACCGGCACTGAGGGGGATCCGGCCCCAAAGCCCAGCTGGGAGGTGCCAGCACGGAGAAATCCTGGTCCTGACCGTGGGTCTGTCACCATGGGGGAGAAGGAACCGCTGAAAAATCCAGCTCGGGATTTGGGGTCGGACTCAAAGGGAGCAAAATTTCCAACTGGGAGCAGCCACGGGATTTCCAGTCCACATTCCCTTGGACATCCTGGAGAGGCTGGAGGGGATCCAGCCCCTGAGCTGGGGGCACGGACAGACCCCCGGCAGTGGGGGGAGCCACCCGGGGATGCCGAGATTCCAGGAGGTTCCCACGGAAGCTAAACACGCCCCACGAGGCCGGGAATATTTTGGGAGGCCGATGCCAGGGGGGCACCGATGGAATTCCCAGCAAGGAATCATGCCTCGCCCTCGGTGCGTGGCCTGGGGAAGGCAAAGAGCTCCTGGAATGTCACCTTTAGGGTGGGACAGCAGCGGGGGAGGGCGGGCAGGACCCGCAGGGACCCTCAGGGACCCAAAGGGATCCTCAGGGACCCGCAGGGACCCAAAGGGACCCGCAGGGACCCTCAGGGACCCAAAGGGATCCTCAGGGACCCGCAAGAATCCTCAGGGACCCAAAGGGATCCTCAGGGACCCGCAGGGACCCAAAGGGATCCACAGGGACCCGCAAGAATCCTCAGGGACCCAAAGGGATCCTCAGGGACCCGCAGGGACCCAAAGGGATCTGCAGGGACTCAAGGGGACCCAAAGGGACCCGCAGGAATCCTCAGGGACGGGATCTGCCGCAAAACCATCCCGCTCCCGGCGCCGGCCGAGGACTCGCTGCAAAGCGCTTTGAAGTGCAAATGAAGAATTTCCGTCAGCTCCGGAGTTAATTCGGAAGCGAAACCATCCCGGAGTGTCCTGATGGATGCAGGGATCCCCCCCTCGAGGGGCACAGGAGGTCCCCGGGAGATGGGGACAAAGCTCGGAGCCACCCCGGGAGCTGTGACAGGGTCGGAGAGGAGGAGCAGAGGAAGGCAGGACAGATCCAAGCTGCTGGAATTGTCTCACCTGAGCCAAATTCCCTGGGATTTGGGGGATTTTGGGGATTTGGGGTTCCCAGAGCCTCCATGGACAGTGCTGGACCCAACCTGGGCATCCCCCTGCTCTTCCCAAGGCTGGGTTTTCCATGGAGCCCATCGTGGGAAAAGGGGAGTACGGGGAACCCCCCCTCTGTCCCCCGTGTCCTTTTTCCCTCTTCCCAACATTTTCCGGGAGGTTTGGAGCCGAGGGCAGCCTCAGGGAAGTTCCCCCTGGCTGATGGGGACCCCTTGGACACCCTCTGGAATGTTTGGGGTCAGCAAAGGGAATCCCCCCCCCAGGGCCAAGGGGGGATGGCAGCACCCCCAGAGATTTGGGGTGCAGGGGCTGAAGGGCGGGAGCGGCTCTGGGGCTGCCTCTGCTGGAGGATTCCATGGAAATGTTGGAAAAATGGGAAAATCCTCCTTTCCCAGAGGATGGGGATGGGATCAGGGATTAGGACAGGGATGGGGACAGGGACAAGGACAGGGATGGGATCAGGGGTGGGGACAGGGATTAGGACAGGGATGAGGACAGGAACAAGGACAAGGGTGAGGATTGGAATAAGGACAGGGATTGGGTCAGGAATGAGGACAGGAATGGGATCAGGGATGGGGACAGGGGACAAGGATGGGGACAGGGATGAGGACAGGGATAAGAGCAGGGATGAGGATTGGAATGAGGACAGGGATGAGGACAGGGATGGGATCAGGAATGAGGACAGGGATTGGGACAGGGTTTGGGACATCACTTCCCAGGCCCTGGCACAAGGACCAAAACCACCTCAGCCACCAAGAGGAAAACGGCAAAGTCGGAATTCCCCCGGCTGGAAAATCGCATTCCAGAGGGTGGCACCAGCTCCAGGGTGTCCCGGCCCCTCCAGGTGGGAAAGTGCTCAGAAAAGGCTCCTGGAGAAATCCACGTCAGGAGCTGCTGATCCAGGGAACAACCGCGGTGTCCCCGGGCTGGGGTGGTGGCACCGATGGCTGATGCCACATCCGAGGCTCCACAATCCACTTGTGGCTCATTTTTGCCACCTTTTCCAAGGAAAATCAGCTTTTCCTCCTCTTAGGTGGCAGCTCAGCACATCAGCGTCAGGAAATGCAGATTCCAGGAATAATCCCGGGAATAATCCTGGGAATAACGGCGGTATCTCCAGGCTG